ACACAACCCCTGCCCCCGCTCATTTCATGCCCACTAAGCACTCTTCGCGTCCATGTGTAAATGCAGGAAGTCTGTAGATACTGCACGGCGTGAGGCCCGGAAATTTCCGCTAGCTGACGCTGTATCGTCCAGAGTAGGCCAGCGCTGTTGGTCCAGCATATCACAGCTTTCAAACGTGTGCGCTGTGCAAGGCACGAAACCCATTCATGCGTCAGCTACAGGGAGTCTGTCCTTGTGTCGTCGATAAGGCTGAGCGTCGGGTCCGACATATTCGAACTTTTGACCAAATCTGCTGACAAATCACGAATGAGCTCTTGCATTGACAATTATCGACCTTAAGTATACCAACAGGTACTCGTTTGAGAACATTACCAATTGTTGGCATACCAACATAAGTTATGTTGTCAAGGCTCAGCACTTCAAGCTTTGCTTATGGCCATGGTTGAGCACAGCACAGCACACACAGATCGGTTGAAGCGTCGAGTATAGTGACAACATGACCAATATTAACTTAATAGTGTCTTTAAACCTGTGCCTCCTTGCCTATTGTAGTTCGATACCTGTCAGCATAAATACTCGGAAATTATATGATCGAAAAACCAGCAGCTCAAGGTCTTTTGCGCTCACAAGCCTCATAAAATGCCAACTTTTACATCTCTGTGCGTGAGAGGACAAAATGCAGCGGTAGAACAGGATTTCGCTGAGGGAGGGGATTTTAAGGTGACGGGCCCCCTCAGTTGGCTGATAGTGCCTACTGGATCCTGGGGGCCATATGCCCAGCATGTGTTATATTGTCGAAATTCGAGTCGCAAGTCATGAAAATGTTCAAGAGAAAAATGTTAGGTCGCATGTTAGAAAACCAAGCTGTTTGGTCCTTTGCACGCATCTAGAAAGGTTCTAGATCTCGTGGACCCAGGACCTTGCTGGGGCACAATCCACTTTGCGCGTCCCGTAATTGTCCCTTCTTGTGGGATTCTCATGTGGATCGTAACGGATTGCGTCCTCACGCCCTTTCCCTTGGATCTCCCGATAAGGTAGAGCGGTTATGGCCATTGCCACCGGTTGATCTGGGGAGAGCGAACTGTATCGCAATGTCGACAAGCCACTGGTGTACCCGCTTAGTGACTGCTGTAAGGTTCATGTGGAGCGCAAGATTCACTGAGAATATGAGTCACGTCTGTTGTCAACGCTGGTGCTGCTAAGGATTGGTAGCCCCATGCCGGTCGAGAGAAGACTTCTTAGAATATGATGATTAGGATGGACCGAACTGGTCCGAGCCTGTCCACCAGTGCGGTATATATAGCCGAACTGGTCTGAGCCTGTCCACTGGTGCGGTATCTATAGCCGAACTGGTTCGAACCTTCCCACCGGTGCGGTATATATAGCCGAACTGGTTCGAACCTTCCCACCGGTGCGGTAATATAGCCGCACTGGTTCGAGCCTGTTCCAACGGTGCGGTATCTTTGGCCGAACTGGTTTGAGCCTGTTCACCGGTGCGGTATATATAGCCGAACTGGTTTCGAACCTTCCCACCGGTGCGGTAATATAGCCGCACTGGTTCGAGCCTGTCCAACGGTGCGGTATCTTTGGCCGAACTGGTTTGAGCTGTTCACCGGTGCGGTATATATAGCCGAACTGGTTTCGAGCCTGTCCACCGAGGCGGTATATATAGCCAAACTGGTTCGAGCCTGCCCATCGGTGCGGTATACATAGCCGAACTGGTTCGAGCCTGTCCACCGGGGCGGTTATACGTAGCCCAAACTGGTTCGAGCCGGCCCATCGGTGCGGTATATTATAGCCAAACTGGTTCGAGCCTGCCCACCGAGTGCGGTATACATAGCCAAACTGGTTCGAACCTGCCCATCGGTGCGGTTATACATAGCTAAACTGGTTTGAGCCTGTCCACCGAGGCGGTATATATAGCCAAAACTGGTTCGAGCCTGTCCACCGAGGCGGTATATATAGCCAAAACTGGTTCGAGCCTGTCCACCGAGGCGGTATATATAGCCAAACTGGTTCGAACCTGCCCACGGTGCGGTATATATAGCCAAACTGGTTCGAGCCTGTCCACCGGGGCGGTATATATAGCCAAACTGGTTCGAGCATGTCCACCGAGGCGGTATATATAGCCAAACTGGTTCGAGCCTGTCCACCGAGGCGGTATATATAGCCAAACTGGTTCGAACCTGCCCAACGGTGCGGTATATATATAGCCAAACTGGTTCGAGGCCTGCCCATCGGTGCGGTATACATAGCCAAACTGGTTCGAGCCTGTCCACCGGGGCGGTATATATAGCCAAACTGGTTCGAGCCTGTCCACCGAGGCGGTATATATAGCCAAACTGGTTCGAGCCTGCCCAACGGTGCGGTATATATAGCCAAACTGGTTCGAGCCTGTCCACCGGGGCGGTATATATAGCCAAACTGGTTCGAGCCTGTCCACCGGGGCGGTATATATAGCCGAACTAGTCGGAACCCTCCACCATTGCGATGCATATGACCGAACCACAGCCGGCCACGACCTGACTGCGACTGCTGAATCGGTACAAGCCGCACGTTAGCACATGCGCGCCCATAATCTGACGGCTGTAAGCGGGCGGTAGGCATTGAGCAGCAAGCACAGATCACACTCAACGCCAGATAGTATCCCAGGCAGGGTGGTGGCCAATGGCTGAGCCTTGCAACGGTCAAGTCCGGGTCGGACGGACAAACAACCATCGAAATAACTGTTCCCTCCTCAACACAGTTCATTGGATACGAATTTCAGTCGCACAGGATGGGAACATCTGCATGCGCGCACAACCCGTGTGAAGGGTATTCGCACGAGGCAAAATGTGATACGAAGATTCGCGCATGCCTTCAAAAGAATGCGAGACGTACGTAATCCTCCGTATGGTAATTTTATCCTCCGTACTTTCTGTATCCTCCGTACGCAATTATTCGTTTCACGTATCTCTAAATGCACGTGGAGACACGCGAGATGAATAGTTGCGTACGACAAAAGACAACTCGCTGCGTGCGTAGATTCACGAGTGCAGCGTTGTATGCTTCAGTGCTTCCACGAACATGCTTTCACTCATTCTGATAGCCAGTGCGAAGGTTTTGAGAGACCAGACAACAAAGCGTAGCGACACGTCATCGTAACACAGACGTGGCTTTCGGAAGGACGCTCCCTGTTCGGAACAACTTCCAGAGCTTTGGCGCAAGCGGATAGACGTAACGTTGCGTCACCAAAAACTAGTTCGAAATTTTCTCTCCTTGAATCCCTCCCCTGAGCCACTCCCTGAATTGCTCCCTGTTCCAATGCTCGTCCAGGCCATACCAGCCCACCTTATCCGAGAGTCGACAACGCTGGACACCGTCAAAGGCTTCGGACGTGTCAGCTGCCGGTGCGACAGCTGTTCGACAGCGGCGGTGTGGGTCCGACCGTCGCGAAAGGACGGCTTAACCGATGGCCCACTCCTTGGTGCCCTCACTTGCTACCATATCTACCTTCCAGGCAGACCAAAAACCGCCGAACGTCCTTTCGTGTTGTTATCGCGAATGGGTGAATAACCCTTCAGATTCCGTGACATCGATCGCCAAGGGAACGGGACGCCGGGCCGAGAGCGGGACACTGATACTGGGTTGATGTTTCGCACGTGAGTGAGGAATTTATGGCAGAGGAGCACTAAAAGTGGAGAAAACTATTGCTTCGAGTCAGAACTCACCACAGGTATGTTCCGGACTGTGTACGTCTTACAGTTTACCTTCATTTTTGCCAGTTGAATCACCTACGTACTTACGTCCGTTCCTGTGGCCCTTTCTCTAAAAATCCGTTTTCAGCGCACTTAAAAATATGTGGTGATGATTATCGTCACTATGATGAGTGCAAAAAGATGCGGTACAAAGTAATGTGCTAATAATTTCGAACGTCACTCAATGCACGCTCGAAGTTCTGTGCAAATGACCATGACCAATGAACAAACGAGTTTTGCGAATACCGTGCACTGGGAACATGAGCATTTGCTTCCTAAGGAATTTTGATTTGCCATGTAAATATTTGCGAACACATCAATGTGATACCGATATTTGCAATAAGAGAAACGCAACCTATGAGTATTTTTGACATATGCCGAGCACATGAAGACACGCCACATGCAGTCGCGTCCGGTGTCCGCAACCCACCATTCCAGGTGCCGTCCCACCATGGGAGTCCTGCACTAACGACCTCAAAAATGAGCTTGCACAGCTGACCTCAGCATTCTTGGCGTCTTTGTCCTAGTCAGCTGTTGCAGCTTTTTCTTGCTTGCAAAGCTTCGCCGTGCAATCCGAAGAAGTCTATCACTGTCACTGACAGCGCTGTGTTGCCCTACTTGTGTATGAACGGGCTCAGCAGGTGCGGACACTGCGGACATCCAGACTCTGGATGTCAACAGGAGTATCTGTGTATTGAGCGGGTCCTTACTGTCCCAACAACACCAAAAAAAAAAAAACGTCTGCGAGGCCTTTCACCGATCTGGGCCGCAGACTCGCTTGGAACACACGGCACGGGACGGCGCCGTACCTGCCCCACCTCCGGCCAGGTCAGACAAGGTGACGTCACGGGGCAGAGAGAGGTAACCGGTCCAGCCCGCGGTGATCGGAGAAATGCGTGACTCACCCGGGCACGTTGGTGACGTCACACCTCGAACTGACAGCCGGCGTGACGTCACGACACGCACTGGCTGAGAACGAACGGCGCTAGCTAGATGGCCGTCACGCTAAAGGGCTGACGTGGCGCGGCTTACCTACCAGCCATGCCGAAACCAAACACTGTGGGCGACAGCGGAACGCTGGGCGCGGCTGGTTCCGAGCACACACCGCCGCCGCCGGCCCGAGCTGTGACGTCAGCGGCCGGCCTTCCGGCCGCTCAGGTGTGCCGAGACGGCGGCGTTTCCAGCGATCGGCGGGCGGGCCGTGCGCCGCGCGCCGCCCGCCGCCGCCGCCAGTCGTCACGGCGCGGGCGGCGGCGGCACACCATGCACGCGCTCCTCCAGGCGGCCGCGCTCGCGGCGGCGCTCGGTCTCGTGTTCCCCTTCAACGTGGACACGCGCCACCCGGTGATCTTCGGCGGCCCGGCGGCCGACGCCGACGCCTACTTCGGCTATACGGTGGCGTTGGTGGCCGGCACCCAGCCCTGGGTGCTGGTGGGGGCGCCGCGCGCAAACTCGACGCTCGGCGTGCACCCCGAGGTGCGCGAGCCGGGTGCGCTGTTCCGGTGTCCGGCGCTGGCGGCCGGCCCCTGTCAGGAGGTCCTGGTGGATGCGGACGGCAACGAGCCGGCACCGGACCGCTCCTACACCAGCCTGCGCGACGCCGGCTGGCTGGGCGGCTCGCTGGACGTGCAGAACGGTGCCGGCGGCCGGCTGGTGGTGTGCGCGCCGCGCTGGCGCAACCAGCGCTATGGCGGCCACCGGCTCGGCAACGGCGCCTGCTACGTGGGCAGCAACGATGCGGTCGACGACAGCTTCGAGCGGCTGGTGCCGCTGGCCGCCAAGGACAAGCAGTACACGCACCTGGTGGGCATCAACGCCTACCTGTATTCGTACGGTCAGGCGGGCGTGTCGGCGCACCTGGCGCAAGACAGCGGTGCTCTGCTGCTCGGCGCGCCGGGTGTCTTCGACTGGACAGGAACGGTGGCGCGCTACAGCCCGGCCGGCGACCTGCTCGTGCCCGACCCGTCCGCCTTCCCGGACAGGATGCGCCGCTACGACTACTTCGGCTACGCAGTGAGTTCGGGCCGTTTCCTGGCCGACGGCGCAGCGGAGCTGGTGGGCGCGCCGCGCGCCGCCGCCGGCCGCGGCAGCGTCTACCTGCTGCGCCTGCCCGCTACTGAGGACCGGTCCTACGACGTCCTCTCCGAGCGCGTCGGCGACCAGCTGGGCGAGTACTTCGGCGCCGCCGTGCTGGCGGTCGACGTGAACGCGGACGGTCTCAGCGACGCGCTGGTCGGCGCGCCGCTGGCCAGTCCCGCCGGCGGGGGCGGCGACGAGGGCCGCGTGTACGTCTACATCAACGACGGCGGCGGTCGGCTGGGCGAGCCGACCCGCCTGGAGGGCGGCGCCGTCGGCGGCCGGCTCGGCACCGCGCTGGCGCCGCTCGGCGACCTTGACCGCGACGGCTACGAGGACGTGGCCGTCGCGGCGCCGTACGAGGACGAGGGGCGCGGCGCTGTGTACGTGTTCCGGGGCGGCCCCGGCCGCTTCGCTGCCACGGCCTCCCAGCGGATCGCCGCCCGCGACCTGGGTGACGCGCTGCGGGGCTTCGGCGTCAGCGTCTCCCGCGGGGTCGACATCGACGGCAACTCTCACCCGGACCTGGCGGTGGGCGCCTACGGCAGCGGCCACGTGGTGCTGCTGCGCGCCAGCCCCGTCATCGAGTTCGTGAGCTCGCTGACCTCCAGTCCCGAGCGGCTGGACATGACGCGTGACCGGTTCCAGGTGCGCGCCTGCCTGGCCTTCGGCGGCGAGGCTGTGGACTCGGTCACAGTCGACGTCGCGCTCCGTATCGAGTCTTTCCACGCACAGGGCGTCTTCAGCGTCGACGGCAGCCAGCAGCGGGAGGCAAACTTCACGCTGGAGATCAGCCGCGACGAGCCCTCCTGCCGCGTGCTGGACGTGGCGCTGCTCGCGTCCAAGCGGATCGACTACACCAAGCCGATGCAGATCAACATGCGGTACGCGGTGGCCGGCTCGGGCGCCGAGGAGGTGCGCCGCACGTTCGTTGACACGGACACGGAGAAGAAACGTCTGGTTGATTACGAGTTCAGCACCCGGCGACGGCGGCAGATCGAGTTCCCGCAGGCGCCGCCACGCGCTGACTCCTTCTGCCCGCTCTGCCCCGTGCCGAACGTGAACCTGCCGAACCAGCGGGTGACCACGCTGAGCGTGCCGTTCTCGGTGGGCTGCGGCGCGGACGCCACCTGCCAGACGGACCTGCGCCTCTCGCACCGCTTCCTCGGCCTGTCCGGCGGCGCGTACGTGGTCGGCAGCACGGGCACGCTGGAGCTGGAGCTGGCGCTGACGAACAGCGCCGAGCCGGCCTCGCTGCCCGTGCTGACCATCGCCCTGCCGGCGGTGGTCAGCCTGCGGCGCCTGCCGTCCGACTGTCGCGAGCGCGCCGCCGGCCCGGAGGGCGTCACGCTCATCTGTAACGTACTGCCGCACCCCTTCTTCGACAACTCCGAGTACCGGCTGCCGCTGGTGTTCGACATGAAGGCGGTGACTGGCCGCACTGGTCGCCTCACCTTCAACGCATCGGTGGAGTCGGCAGGCGAGGAGCTGACGCCCGCCGACAACGTGGCCAACATCTCACTGCCTCTGGTCAGCCAGGCCGACCTGGAGATCCGCGGCCGCGCACGCGAACCTTCGCTCGTCTTTGAGAACGCGCCCGTGGAGGACGAGGAGGACGGAGGCGCGAAGTTTGAGTTCGTCCAGCATACGTACCAGGTGCTGAAGTACCTGCCGACACCGGTGCCGGCGGTCAACATCTCGTTCCTGGTGCCGGTGGACGTGCTGGCAGCGGACGGCACGGTGGTGAACATCGCCCGAGTCTACCCGCCGGCGGCGTTCGTCGATAGCCAGCCGCTGACCTGCGTTGTCGAGGACGACGCGTACCTGTTGTCGGGCCGACAGCCGACTGCCGCCGGCGGCGGGAGCCGGCCAGCGGACAGCTCAGAGCCGGTGTACAGCCTGGACTCGGACCTGCAGGCTCAGGAGTCGGTGCGGTCCGGCCAGGTTGCCGCACGGAGCAGGCGTGAGGCGCCCGAGCCGCTGCCGGCGCCGGCCGCCGCCGCAGACAACTCCTCCGCGCTGCTGGTCGGCTGCGAGCCCGGCTCGAGCGCGCGGTGCGCGCGCGTCACTTGCCAGACGGTCGCCCTGCTGGAGACGAGCACGCGCGTCACCGTGGCGCTGGAGCTGCGGCTGGACGTGGCGGCGCTCTCCTCGCTCGGCGTCGGCCGCCTGCTGCTCACCTCCAGCGGAAGGGTGCGCATGCTGGGCGACTCGCTGATCCCAGCCGAGCTGAACCAGCGGCCGGACGAGGCGCGCGTCACCACCGAGCTGCTCGCCGCCACACTCACCCCCGAAGAGGTGCCCACCTGGATCGTGGTGGTGGCCGTGCTGGGGGCGCTGCTGCTACTGGCGCTCATCACGCAGGGCCTGCACCTGGCAGGCTTCTTCCGGCGCACGCGGCGCGAGCAGCTGGAGCAACAGCAGGAGCAGCAACAGGAGCAAGAGGTGAAGGAGAACTTTGGCCACATGTTCATCGTGCCGGGGCCGCCGGCCGCGGCGGTCAAGTGAGCGTCGCCGGCGACATCGAGGGCGGTGCGGCCATCACCAGGGCTGTGATCAGGGACATCAGCGGAGGTGTACTCTGGCGTGCGGTGCTGTGGGACGGGAAGAGACGGGTTTGATGTCAGCGTGGGCATGCGTCTCACAAACACTTCGTTTATCATGCTTTACATTTTGTACTCGCCTTGTGCATAGCGCGAGCGGAGCGGCCCTGGACCGCGAGCGGATTCTATTGTGGCGCGTGTGTGATTCAAACGTGGTACGCGTCGCTGCGGTGAATGCCTGAGAACAGGGCGTGGTGGTCAAATCACAAGTTCTCACGTTGATTTACCATGTTATCTCCCGGTGACCGGCCGAGGCTCGCAGTCAGTCGCGCCCGAAGCCTCAGTGCGGGCCTCTGCTTGTGTTAATTGTTAAGAGCGTTTGTGTGTCCTTGAAGTGCTTCCGCATGTCGTCGCGTGATATTGCTCAATCGCATGTGCCTGCATCGTCAGCCTATGAACACGCTAGTCTATGATACCGTGTAAAATGCATTACCTGTTCAACGCGTGCGTTTGCAAGTAAGACAGTGAAGGACGAGTTCCGATAATCCCGCCAGACCGAAGGCATTTAGTTTTGATTCATTCCCGCAGCTATTCACGTTTGGTGGCAAATGAATCAGCTGTGGGAACCGACAAATAACGCTTTCCGGTCATTGTCCGCAGGCATGCTTGCTTACAGACAATGACGTTATAGGACATGGAGGCCTGCTAAAAGTGCGTTAGGTCCTGGATTCTGCATCCCAGGGTTGTGCTGGGGCCCGGCGCCTTTCACTGAAAAACAGGCACACATCAATACGCTTTCGACGAGAGTGCAGACGGGAGCATGTTGCGCGCTCCACTATGGTATACAGCACGTATAGAAGTAAACAGCTGGCACAGGTGCGACACGTGGGTGTATTCCACATCCGCTCGCCACTGCGCCGCGCATGGTGCCGGTTCCTGTTTGCGACCCGTCCAGCTGTGTCGCGTGACCGTCGTCATGGCGCCCCGTCACCGATCAAACTCCAGGTCCTGGAACTGGGCCTCGCAGCGGGCCGCGGCTAACGCGCCGGAATGGCGCTGATTCAGCGCTGCGGTCGGGCGGTCTCGTGGGCTGCCGGGGCGCCGCTGCGGTCGGAGCGGGCTCGCGGTCTCGTGGGCTGCCGCACCTCGTGCCGTGTCAGACCGCGGTCGTTCAGCGGCGGATCTGCCGCCTCGCTCACCGCGCCGCATCAGCCAGCCGCTGTCGTATGTAGAGCGCGTCGCAACATTAGACGCTGGAGTCGGGTGAAGCCAGCGCCGACCAGTCTCATTGACACTGGCCGGCTAGTCAGGCGTAGGGTCGCTCCGCATGGCAGGCCGGCGGTCGTCACGACCTGACAGGCGTCACCAGTCCCGGTGACCTAGCCGGGCAGCGCGGCACTGCACCACAGGAGCGGAGTCTGATGACATCACCAGTCCCAGTGACCCAGCCAGGCAGCGCATCACAGGAGCGGAGTTTGATGATGTCACCAGTCCCGGTGACCTAGCCAGACAGCGCAGCTCTGCACCATAGCAGCGGAGTCTGATGACGTCACCAGTCCCGGTGATCTAGCCAGGCAGCGCAGCTCTGCACCACAGCAGCGGAGTCTGATGACGTCACATCCCGTCAGGCCTTTTGTTTGCCTGTTTTTAGGGTTTGATTTATACACCAGACGGCGGAATTTACGTCGGAGGAAATGGCCGGTTCCGCGACGAATGTTTAAGACGGCTTGGCGGCTTACCTTGGTAACACGGTGAGATCGACGAAGATCAAGGACAAGAAGTGGCGCAGCCAAGGGGAAATGCCTCAAGAGCCATACCCCCCCCCCCCCCCCACCCCCCACCCCCAACACAAACACAGGTGGTGGGGCTCTCCAGGGCTGAAGGACACAGTGCGTTCTGGCAGTTCAAGACGCCCGTGGGGCTTCCAAACATTCAGAATCAGTCCCTGCTGCATCAATGAGATGTTAAGACTAACACGTCTCCTGATTTTAAAAAAACTCGGCGATTATGACGACAATGAGCAGCCCCTTGACTGAAAGCTCCCTGTTGCCCGATTTGCCCAGCTTCTGATCGAAATTCTGGCCACGCCACTGATGATGAGCACGCAGTGAGTGTGCAAGAGCCACTCGCTGGTGCCCACTTTTTCCCGGCCTGTTCTCTCTGGAGCCGAATGACTCAGACCATTACCTGCCGTGAGACGGCAAGGCCCGCTCTAGGCGGCCTTTGCTCCTAGTGATTGTCATGACCGCCGAAGTAGCCAATGCTTCTCTTAAAGCTGGTAGTCGTGCAAGGCGTGCGGAAACAGCATGTTATGGGGGCGAGCCAGTGTACGTTCGGAATAAACTGGGCTAATGTACACAGAGTAAATTGTGGCCTGACCCGTGGATTTGCGGTACCGCGGAAGTTGGCGCCTTCCGCACAGACAGGTGGTCCGTCTACTTCTCGGCCGGCTGAAGTACCGGTCAGCGGGCCAAAACGCCAAACTGTCTGCAGTCTCGAGCGAACTCTGCTGTGCGTTTCATGCGATACATGACGTCGGTGAAAGCCCCGTGGTGCTATTTGACACGGTACCTCACCGGGCTACTTGCCCCGCGTGAGCAGCCAGGCCGCGCCGGCGAGTGGAGGCAAAACCACGAAACTGATGCAAAAATATGGGAACCGGATCTGGCGAAGCGTTTTTAAAGAATGGGAACTGCGACTGAGAACTATTCACATTCAATGCAGCTCAGTCAGATCACGCTGAAATAAATCTCAGCGACACTTGCTCTCGTCAGGGCGGCAGATTCCTCTCATTTCTTACTTCTTTTTCTTAAAGTGTGTTTTCCAGCTCCAAACCATTTAGGAAATCATCATGACATCCGGACAACTAATTTTGTAACATTTTGCACCCAGCCAATGAACTTCAACTTTCGATGGCAGTCTACCAGCGAGCTTTGATGTGTTTCTCAGGAGCGTCGCGGAGGAAATACAAAAAATCCCGTTCGTCTTGGTATCATGCACGCTGTTTCTTCTTGTGGTGTGGTTCTGAATCTGCATGTGTTCACATTTGCAGAACGATGGTGGGAAGTGAATATTTGCGGTTCAGGTGCTGTCGAAGTTACTGCACGATCACGACAAGTGCAGCAAGTTTGAAAACACCGTTACCACGGTTACTCGATCCAAGGCCCTGTTTTCCAGGAACGGTAATCCGGTGACTCGACCGCGAAGTCCCGTGGTCCCGTGACGTCATCGTTTGCCTGTAGGGTTGGCTTGGGAGGTGCGGCGCGAGGTGTGCAGGAGCCGTCTGATTCGACAGGAATTGATGACGTCTTTGTATTAGTGTGACCCCATGGCCACTGAATGGATGACAGGGCGTCACCGTCACATCAATCCTCGTGACCCCATGAACTAAATGGACAATCAATGTGACATATCAGACATGAACAAGTAAAAGCTAAAAGGCTTGTTTTGCTGTTTTCTTATCAATGATAAAAAGCAGGACAGAGACAGTTGTTTATTGTTTGTTTAGTTAGGCAGTAAGCAATCCACAGGTATAAGCCCATTGCGGGCGCAGTGCAGTTTTAAAAACAATAAATGCACGATGCACACACAAACAAAACACCTAATCACACGCATCCACATTACACACATTCACACATACACCTTGCACACTCGGACACAACGGTCATCAAAAGAACGCGCCATCAGTGCCGTCAAACGAACAAATCAGACCAGAATGATTTTGTTGGGTGGAAAAAGTCGGCTGAGGGGAACACGGTAGAAAACGTTTGCGGGCAATGGATAGACGTGTGCCAAATCTGTTTTAAACAATGTTGGCCCTTGCAAATGGCTCGTGGAAAGGCCCGGTTTGCCGAGACTGCCGGACGGGTGTAGCCAGACCAAACAATGATGGCACGTGAGCGCATTCAGGCCTGAGGTGATACTCATTGTATGAAAATGTTGTGTCGGCCAGAGTAATGCGTGCCTTGATAGATACTGTTATGCTAGATATTTTACTGAAACACTTGATAGATGCTGTTGCACTGTTGATATACTGTTATACTTGATATATACTGAAATAAGCGGGAAGCTGCTCTTAATACAGTGGAGGACACCGGTACTAGGTACTCGAATCTAACCACTTGAGAAACCTGAGATGCCTTTCAAACCGGGGAGGTGTGAAACGGCAGCGCAGTTCCAAATAACGCCGCCGTACTCATCAACGATCTTACATGAGCGTTGAAGGCACACAGCAAAGTCTTATGACTGATCGCGCTTGACGAGGGCACGACGGCATTTGCACACTCCGCACGAGAAGACCCAGCGTCATGTTTGTCTTTGAGACAGTCGCATCTATGGAATTGGCAAAGGTGAGTTTGGTATCCAGGAGGACGCCAAGATCACGAATCTGCTACTGGCAGGTATCCAAGCAGTGACCATCTAGCGCATATGAGTAGTGTGAACAGGTGACGCACGGAGGGTGAATGAGATGGTTTTGCACTTAGCTTGGTCCATTTTCAGTCCCTAGTTTTTGGACCATTCACAGAGGCGATCCAAATCCGCCTGAAGTGTGAGACAATCTGCTGCGTTGTCCATTCGGTGATGCAATTTCACATCATCAGCATACACAAGGCACTCGATTTAAATCTGGTCAGGAACATCAGCCAGCAAGCAGACGGACAACATCGGTCGCAGAATGCTGCCTTCCAGGACACCAGATCGCGCTGGAATCCAGTCAGACTGGTTGCCGTTCAGCATTACGTGCTTGAACGATTGCTCAAGTACGACTCCAGTCAGTTGTACGCGCGGCCAGCGATGCAAAGAAAATGGCGAAACATTCTTTAGCGTCTAACGGACGTCATGGAACGTGCACCATAAGCAATTTCGTGGGTGTGGTGAGCTGCTTCACTTAAGACAACGTTGGAGACACAGAAAGCTTCCAATTTTTAGAGAACGCAAGAGGTGAAGCGTGCTGAACTGAAAGTTTTGAATGCGGTGCGAACGGTAAAGACATAAGTGAAATCACTCCACGCCAATTACCAAACAAGAAGACCCCAAATTACATCAAACCAGACAGCTTGGTTGTCGAAATCCGATGTCTCCGCTGAGAGCGTCCTGGTTGTTAACCATGAAGCTGTTTAAGCGTACAGAAGGGCCAGAGGGCAGGCAAATGCTGTGGAGTGATATGAAGCCGCAGGCGGACGAAAATGGGACAGAGTGCTTTCATTCTGATGAGAGACTAAAACTAGAGACGACACTGAGACGAGCACAATGAATATATAAAATGTTCCTAGCGGAACCTTTTGCTCGAGCCCAGCGATCCATTCCTTTAAGCTGTGAGCCGCCAGAAATTATCTGTAGACCTGGTCTAGTTTCTGTGTGGCCCGCTGGACGCATGGTTCATCAGCACCATGCTGAAATGGGAGGTGTGCCAGCCGGCATTTCAAGCCGTAAAACCAACCACTCGGTGCGAAACACCACTGTGAAACGAGCGCTGGCTGTCACCTGCCGTCGT